AGAGGCAAAATCAAAACTTTCAAGGAGTGCGGCCTTTCTGAAATAATATGAAAGGTGGAAATCATGCGTAGTTTCATCGGCTGATAAAATAGCTACTTTGAGGAGTGCGTCGAACTAGCATGACTCCGCTGCCAAAATAAAGGGGAAATCGGCTGTTATTGCCAGTGTTCCTACAGTTGAACGGGTTATTTCGAAGACAGGACACCTAAAACGTCAAAAACTAAAAAAAAAACACCATTGAACTGTGCTCGAAAGGAGTAGCGATTGTTTTCCCGAGGCAATATGACCATGCAGCGGGAGTGGCACCAAATTCTAATCTCCGACGGGAAACGATTTAAGGAAGGAAGAGCATAAACATGATTGATTGCATAGTCGAGTGAGAGACAATATTCCTAGCTGTCTACTCAGGGACTGTAGATCTTCCCTACTTCGTCCAAGCTAAAGCTTATTAATGTATCCCTTAAATCTTTTGTCTTTCTATCTCTTTGGAAAGAAAACAATCAGGCCGGCTTACTCACCGGGCCCTGATGGTGTTTCTGCTTGTAAACTATTTAAACCTGTCTTAAAACTTTTTGAATTGTATTTAAGCATATACTTTTCTGACAATTTGGAAATAAGCATACATTTTCCCTCTCCATAAATAAGGGAGTAAGTGCGATGTCGAAAACTATAGAGATTTCCAAACTATCCGCAATAAGAGAATCATTACATCTCAACTGTAACAATAATGTAGTTTTGTTATTTCCCAGGGGTTTGTGAAGCGTAGATCTACAACCACTAACCCTCTTGAGTTTACTTCGCTGGTAATTGATGGGTTAAGAAAAGAATGCAGACTGACGTCATCTATACTAATTTCAGCAAGGCTTTTGACTCTGTCAACTTTCTGCTTCATAAATTATGCCTTCTTGGCGGCCCAGTCAATACCTTGACCTGGATTTCAGAGAATTTGCGTTACAAACCCCAAAAGGTTATGTTCAGCAATTTATTTTCTTAACATATTCTGGTGACTTCCCGTGTTCCTCTTGGCCCGTTACTATTTACTCTTTTCATCAATAACCTTCCTTCGATTCTGTCTCACTATCAATTATTAATGTATGCTGATAATGCTTTAATTATATTATTCCTTGCATTTAAGGATATGGTATCATGCTATTTTTAACAAGCCGACATTGATGCTTTCAGTCTTGGTGTCTAGCCAACCTCTTTAATTTAAGCTGCTGCTGATGTAATTATTGACTCTCTCCCCAATTGGTTTCTATCATCCTTGATAGCTTACCTCTCGTGCGTGTCAATAGTACTTGTAATGAAGTTAATGATCTTGGCGTCATTATGGATCATAAACTCAAATTCGACTCCCATGTTACGATAGTGGTCAATAAGGCCAGAATTGTTTTGGGTTCCATCAAGCGATGGTCGAAATAATTTGACGATCCGTATACGACAAAGACCCTTTATATATCTTTGGTACTATTCTTGAGTATGCCTCTTGTATCTGGTCACCACAATATTCTATTCATCATGACAGAATTGAATCTGTACAGAAATAATTCTTGTTGCTTGCCCTTCGTGTGAGGTTAGCGGCAGACTTATGATAGTGAATCTTCCGTCTTTAATTAATCGTAAAATTATACGTGGTGTAATAATTACTCATAAGCTAATTATGGGTGAAATCGACTCCTCTAGGTTGATTAGATAATTAAACTTATCTGTCCCGCCTAGATTAACACGTAATTATACACCTTTATCACTTCAAAACTGTTGAGTTTTCTCTGTGATGATTATAACAAGCATTACCGAGTATTCTTCTCGGAGTCTTCCATTCCTCGTATAAAGTGTTCTATTCTTGACTATTAAGCAGTAGATAGTATTTGCATACGGTCGTAGTTTGTATTCGTTTTGCACTTCGGAACTCATGTCGTACATTACGCCGCGGTCAGTTAGGAGGGATTCGCGTGATATAAAAAATTACGGGGACATTATAAAACTGTCCGTTATGCCAAAATGATTTTACAAATTAGCACTTCCAATTTGTAACATTTCTGCAAATCAGTTGTCTCACCTGGTCAAAACGGATTCGTAAAGAATCGATGAACAACAACCAACCTGCTTGAATTTACTTCCTTGGTTTCTTTTCTTAAATGCAAACTGATGTCATTTACACTGACTTCATTTTATTAACGCTTAAGGCGTTTGACTCTGTGAACTATAATATTTTACTCCTTAAACTTGATTGTTTAGGTTTCCCTTCATCTTTTTTGCATTGGATTTCTTTTCTTTAATAAGTAGGACCCAAAAAGTAATGCTGACCTTAACCCTTTACTCTTTTTTTAAATGATCTCCCCTTGGTTATATACTTATGTATGCGGACTATCTGAAACTTATTATTTCATACACTTATCACCTACATCACTCTCGTTTACAAAATGATTTGAACGCTATGCAACTTTGGTGTTCGACTAATAAATTGCATCTAAATTGTTCAATCGTACTACACCTTATCTTGTTAGTTATACAATCGATAGTACTCCAGTGTAATGTATAATTATAGTTAGGGATCTAGGCGTTCTTTTTGATGCTAAACTTTGTAAAAATCTTTTTAAAGGTACAATTGTTATTGAGGCCAAAAATGTACTTGGATACATAAAACGTTGGCCTAAAGAGTTTAACGATCCTTTCATAACGCAATTTCTGTTTTTTGCCTCACGAGGCTTAAATTGGGACCCCTACTCCAGCAGCCTCCTTCTTCTTGAGCTTCCGCCGTTAACCAATCGTAGGACAATACTTTGCCTTTGTTCATAAGTTGATTGCTGGCGACATAGATTCCTCTTTTCTGTTAGGGCGTCTTTAATTTTCTGTAACGTTTAGACCTACCAGGAAATATCGTTCCTTATTCCTACCCACGTGCACAATAGATTACGCTATGCACAATTCTTTTCGTGTACTATGTACAAATTTCAATTGTTTGTATTACGTTCTTTCCACCGAACTCTTTCTACACCCAATAAAATCGTTGCTTTCAGGATGAGTTCTCAAATCAGTCGGTGATTTCCAATCACTATCTCCATATTCTATCTACTTAACAATCTATATATTTAGTTTCCTTACTTTATGATTAACTTCATTCTTTTCTTTTTCTTTATTTTCTTACAAATAATATTATTAATATATAATATTGGAAATTAAAATTATTTCTAATTTTAACTTTTTTCTACTAACTCATTCTTAGCTGTAGGCTCTTTTAATGTCACTGACAAAATTACCTGTGAAAAGGGGAATAACTAGCCGGACGGGCAAATAAAACACCACCATCGGTCGGTGGTGTTATTGGAAAAAGTGTATTTTAATTAGGCTTTTGACAGTTAATTTTCATGGCTTGATACATTAAATGATTAGAAAGCCGCTCGTTTTTGTCGACCATTAATAAATAACTAAATAAAATAAAAGGTGTTATGTTATTTAGTTACTGTCATTGTTTAATCTGTAATTGAGTGTAATCGGATTTTAAATTCCCACTCTCTTTTCGGATCTGCGACTAAGCTAGGGAAAACTTTTTTCAAATGAGCTACGCTCCAAGGTGTACCCGCAACTTCTTGTGGACACACGAGGTCGATCAGTTCAAAAAGAAAATGTAAAGTCTTTATAAATTAGCAAAGGATATTAATGGACAGATGTCTATCGAGTCAACTTCTGAAATTTTAATTCAATATGTGTTAAGCTAAGAAGACAGTTCTCATCTTTATTCTGCGAAATACTAACCGAACATAATGAAATATCCATAAGGACTGTTCGCTAGAGCTGCGTACCTAAGCTCACTTTCCTTGATGCCAATTCTGAGCCTACAGCTCACAGTTCTAGTAGAAACGCACCTGAAGTTATCAAAAAAAAACCAAGTAGAAAAACATAATTCTTGATTCAAAACGATCTGTGATGTGGATCCAGCGGTAACAGAAAGCTAAATTAAGAAGGAACGAGCTGTTACCCCAAATCGGACTTGTGCTGTGCTTTTTTAGCGCAGATATATGCTGTCTGACAGTCTGCTACACTGACTAACACCCCTTGGATGCTCCTCAAGGAATCAATTTACGTTACGGCCTATAACCTATTAACACTATGTCATCGCATATCACCAACGATAATTATTTTTTAAAGTGTAAGGGACTTTATTGCTGCTATATTTTTGTACCCATCGAAAATGGGTAAAAAGGATATAACGTTTTTGTGCAAATGTATTTAACAGCCAGTAAAAGGCATCTTCGACCCCATATATACTCTTGATCAGCATCAAACGCCGAGTCGAGCTAGCCATGTCGGTGTGTCTGTCCGTCCGTAGGTATGACCGCAAGGATATCTGAACCAATTAGCGCTAGAAACTTGAAATTTGGAATGCACTCACATACCATACGCAGTACAAGTTTGTTTCCGATAATCGATAACTAACTATGATCGGTTAAGAAACACAGAAGTTTTGGTTGGCCACTCGTTTGAAGCAGCTAGCACAAATTGCATGAATTTCTGTATACATGTTCACACACACATTTACGCGGGTCTTTATTGAATTCAAAAACATTGCAGTTGCGATTGTATTGTTTTCTGTTGTGCTATTTTAATTGTTTTAATCGGTTTTATCAAATAAGCTTAGACAAACAGCCAAAAAACAACAATGATATATTTATGGAACATTACGGAACTTAAAAGAATGATGGTCCTGAGTGCTTTTCCATCATACAAGTGTTCAAGTGTCTCAAGAAAAATACTCAAATTGTTAAAGCAATACCTAAAAATATCTAATTTTGGCTAAATTCATCAAAGGTGGCATTGCCCTGGGCAACCAGCTTTATCAACATTTCTAATTTAGGCATATGCTAGGGGTATGCTTAAAGGCTAAGCAAGATAAATAAATAGCGCTGATAACATGCTACTTTTTGAGATAAAATGTAATATTATTATATACTTTTATCAGTTGGGTATATTTTCTGTTTCCTTTACTTTAGATGTCTTACCTCCTTGCTCGTCCAACATAACAATGCTTCGCATCCCAACTTCCGCGCTCTAAATAGAAATACATGTTTATTTTAAAATTAGTACCATAATGGGAGATTCCATTAAAAATGTTCATATTTTTATTTCGTGTTCAAAATTTAGTGAATTTATTTTTTTAGTTAAATCAGATATATTTGCTACGCATCACATAGAGGAAATGTGATAAAGCATTGTGTAGAGTCCGATAACTTTTAAAATCGGGAAAACATTGCACAATATGTCTTGTTTCGACTGACCCAAGTTACCGTTCAAGGGCCCATTTATGACCTTGTAGAAAGTAATATAAATGTTCACAAATTTGCAAAGCATAGAAGGAGATCCCATAAATATATATATATATTATTGATACCGTATCACTTATTACATATAACCAAAATCGTACAAGCACGTAAAAATTATTGGGCAAGAAAAGTATGAAAATTTGGGTGATTTCAAAAGATATCTTGGCAAAATTAGACAATTTCGGGATGTGCTAATTTTCTAATATACACTGCCGATCACTTGAATAGCGCCCCTTTCTTGAAATGTGAAAATGCGTATAGATCACAGAATAATGCACTTAGTTGTAAAATTTGCATTTTGTTTCTAATATCCTGTTCCAGGAAAAAAAAAAGTTATAGTTTGGGAATTCGGATTTTTAATAGACGACTCCTATTAACTTGCATAATAAACGCTCAAAATATTTGGCTCATTTGAAAAGCACCCCCTGTTTCATCTTCACTTTTCGCTCAGTTTCGAAAGCGACAAGTACACTTACTTAAAGACTTCCATTACTTGGGTTGATATTCTGTAAATAAGCCCAAAACGGGACGTGCAAAGCCATTAAACAATGAGGAAAGAGGCAAAATCAAAACTTTCAAGGAGTGCGGCCTTTCTGAAATAATATGAAAGGTGGAAATCATGCGTAGTTTCATCGGCTGATAAAATAGCTACTTTGAGGAGTGCGTCGAACTAGCATGACTCCGCTGCCAAAATAAAGGGGAAATCGGCTGTTATTGCCAGTGTTCCTACAGTTGAACGGGTTATTTCGAAGACAGGACACCTAAAACGTCAAAAACTAAAAAAAAAACACCATTGAACTGTGCTCGAAAGGAGTAGCGATTGTTTTCCCGAGGCAATATGACCATGCAGCGGGAGTGGCACCAAATTCTAATCTCCGACGGGAAACGATTTAAGGAAGGAAGAGCATAAACATGATTGATTGCATAGTCGAGTGAGCGGCGTATTATTTGGGTAGCAATTTCATATAATGGGACGCTCCAGGTCCAATTTTTGACTACCAAAACGAAAACGTTTTGAAACAGGCTTTTCCTGAAGTGAGAAAGTTGTTTGGAATGTTACAGTGGAAGTTTCAACATAATAACGCCCCCAACCACGCCACAATTATCGTCAAAGCTTGATTATATCAAGCGCTTGTATGATTCCCTACAAAACAGGATATATGAAGTTATCCTGAATCGTGGGGGCTGTACTCTTTAATAATGATAACTAAATTGGTTTGAAATAACTTTTTTCATTTTAAACTTACTTAGCTTAGTGAGTAAATACAAAATATCCAACATTAATTATGATTTTTCGACAAGTGTGCTATTCTAGTGAGCCAATTTATGTAGCATGAATTTTGAGTATTCAAATAATATTTATACCCTTGCAGAGGGTATTATAATTTTGTCGTGAAATGTGTAACGCATAGAAGGAGACATCTCCGACCCCATAAAGTATATGTATTCTTCATGTCGTCTGCTTCGCATTCTAATAGCATTGTAATTGCATATTTTTTGTGTAATGTTATTTTAGTTCCTTTTTTTTATCATAAGTACTTGATTGTTGGTGTGGCTGCTGAGTGAAGGCATAGCAAGTGGTGCGGTCTGTCGCGAGTTCGAGCCCTATCGGGGAAAGTATTTATTTATTTTTTTTTTTTTTGTTGCTGGTGTGGCTGTTGAGTATAGTCGACAGCTAGTAATTCGGCCAGTTGCGAATTTAAACTCTGCCAAGGCAACTTTTTTTTAATTTATTTGGTGTTGGAGTAGAGAGTTCAGGGTATTCCCTGTTCGGAAGCTCTCGACTAAAACCTCTTACTTGTTTAAATGTATCTATATTACTTCATTTGGTGTTGGAATAAGAGGGTTCAGGGTATTCCCTAGTCGGGAGCTCCCGACTAGAACCTCTTTCTTGTTAATATTGTTATAGGTAAACTATTATTGTTATTTTCTGTTATGTGGTGAATATTTAATTATAATAAAAAAAAAAACAAGTAAGAGGTTCTAGTCGGGAGCTCCCGACTAGCGGATACCCTGAACCCTCTTCTTCCAATATCAAATGCATATATATATTCTATTTTGGAAGCTATATGTCAAGTTTGGTGACTCTAGCTCTAGGGGTAGGTGTGCGCTGGATCCACCATCGGCGCAAGGAGGAGCTGGTGGCCATCGCCCAGGAGTTCGGGCTGGAAAAGGCAGGGCGTCTGTAGAAGCTGCGTAGGCGGCTATTCACCTACGTGCAGGATGGCAGCCAATCATCTGAGATCGGCTCGGCCGAGCTGGAGTCTGAATACGCGAAAACATTGGGACAGCTATCCTGGGGCGTCCCACCTGACGTGAGCGGATGACCGCGTCAAAATCGGAGTCTGATCTTAGGAGCTCCCAATTGTACGGGCGTCCCCAGCCGCCTGTCCCTAGCTTAGCCGTCACGGGTGTGGAGGAGGCTTATTATTCCAGGGAAAATGAAGATCGCTGAGCCACCGCGACCAAAGTAGAAGTGAATCAGAACCCTACCGAGCCGGTTAGCGGAGGTAGGGCCGCTTGCAAACGTTCCGGAGCACGTTCGGAAGTGGGGTATAAGGTACTATGGCCGCTCCGACCCCCTTGGGTTCTTAGAGGACCTAGAGAAGCTCACCATCACGTATGATATTGCCCTTGATCGACTGCCTCGGGCAATGATCGAGGTGTTCTGCGACAGAGCCGCTCGATGGTTCTTGATTAGTGGTCTGAGGGATGTGCTATGCTCAGTGCTTAGGAGGGGTTTCTTGAAGTTCTTCCTGCCTCCACGCTAGTTCGAAAGGCTTGAGGACGAAATCCAATCCCGCAGGCAACGCGTAGGGAGCCCTAATGCATCACGCCTGTAATGAGCCGGCGCTGGAGTTGCTTCGGATTTAAGAGAAAGCCGCCTCCGAATACAAGCTCTACGTGCGACGGCAAGATTTCTCCACATTGTCTCAGCTTACGTACATGGCTGTGGAGCATGAGAGGGTCATGAGGCAGAGGGATGAATACTCGGGAAGCAAGCCTGGAAGTCAAGTGGCCGTAAGCTTGAGTAGCGCAGAGTGGGCGAAGTCGGTACAGCCCGATCTACTCCTAGCGTGTCCGGAGCGACCGTTGTGGGCAGGAGGATCCTCGCCCCTCCGGTAACGGCCCCTGCGGAAGGGGTCCACCAAATCATGAGCCAAGAGGCCGGAACCGGGTACGATCCGCAACGAGCATGTCGTAGGTGCACACAGGAGAGACACTTTGCCGGAGAATGTCCCTACGCACACGTCTTATTCTGTTGGGTATGTGGGAGCCGTGGCAAGAGTAGCCAAGATTGTTGTCACCGCACAGAGGCGGGAAACGGGCAACGGCGTCGCCCAGACCAGCGCCGACACACACGGGACTCGGTAATAGGTCACCCACTGAACGTGGAAGGTGGGCAGATCGTCGCTACGATGGAAATTGGCGGGCGAACGATGCCTGCTACCATTAATACCGGGGCCACTCGCACCTTAATGAGTGAAGACTGCGCACGCAAGTGAGCGATTCGGAGAAGAGGGGAGGACATACTAGTGCGCATTCGTCTGGCAGACGGGTCCACGTTGGATGTAGAGAAGGTATTGTGTTTGGACGTTGGCCTTGCGGGGAAGGTGATTATCATGCCGATGCTCATCATGCCCTCGATGCTAGACCACGACATCCTGGGAATGGATTTCTTGGGTGCAATGGGCACCACAGTGCGGCAAGGCGGAACTTGTCTAAGAAACGATGACGGCACCGGTCGCGGGGCGCTGGGCCGGGGACGCGAGAGGGAGTGAAGAAGGGGGACTAGACCGAGAGCTTGCGGAGCCCACAAGGCGCCGCCTTAGAGCTGCAAAGGCAGATCTACGCTGGTCATGAAGATGGCATGGGGGAAACGTGTTAGCGAACGGAGGGATTGGGAGCAATGGTCAGGATCCACACGGGCACGGGGAACAGGAGCGACTGCTAGACTGGAGTGATTATGGAGCTCTATCTGGAGACGGAGTGTTGCCCGGAGGAGGCGAGACAAAGAGCGAGCTCAGCATCAAAAAGGCAGAGTGGCCAGCGGATCTGGATCCGGAACTTAGGAAGTTCTTGGAGTCGGAACTGACACTCTTTGAGAGGCTGCAAGAAATCTCGCATATCGCGGAGCACAGGATCCGGCTTAAGGACGACAGGCCATTGAAGCAGAGATATTATCCGAAGAATCTGGTCATGCCGAGGGTGATTAACGAACAGGTGGATGAGCTGATCCAGGCAGGTGCCATCGAGCCGTCGCGTAGTCCGCACAGCGTCTTAGTCAAGAAAAGACTGGCGAGTGGCACATGTGCATCGACTACCGGAAACTCAACGCGCATTCCATCCCAGATGCTTATCCTGTTCCTCGGATTAATCACATCCTTGAGCGGTTGCGTCACGCCCGGTTCATCTCCACTTTGGATTTGAAGCACGGGTACTGGCAGATACCGCTGGCAGCCGATAGTCGGGAATGTACGGCGTGCACAGTCCCAGGAAGAGGTATTTTCCAATGGCGAGTGATGCCATCAGCGAGCCTTGGACACGGTAATAGGGCCGGAGATGAAGCCTCATGTGTTCGCCTACCTGGACGATATCGTGGTAATAGGGGTAACGCAAGAGCAGCATATAGAGAATTTGAGGAAGGTATTCCGCCGGTTAAGGGCGGCTAGTTTCAGGCTGAATAGAAAGAAGTGCAGCTTCTTCAGGGAGAGGCTTGTCTATCTG